CTTCTGGGCAGAGATAGGAACTCTGGGAAGAGTCTGAACAGCAGGGATTTGCCAGCCAGATGTGGAAGAAGCTGGACATATGGTACTGAGGAAAAGTAATGAGCCACGTGGTAGAACACAGATTAATGTAAATGAGTTAATTAAAGTTTTAAGAGCTAGTTGGGAACAAGGCTAAGGTAAGACCAAACTTTCATAATCAATAGAAAGTGTCTGTGTCATTATTCTGGAGCTGGTGGTTCAAAGAAAGCCAGACTACAATCCTCCCTTCCTACATCAGTCATCAGAGTTATGTTTCTTTCTGGCCATGTTGGGGATTGAACGGAGTGCTTTGAGAATGCTAGGCAAGTACAGGATTCCTGGTTGCGACAAGATCCTGGAAAGGGGATGGAAGAAGCAAGAAGGATCCAGTAGCACAGGAATAAGTCCTGATCTGGCCTCTATAGTTGACAGTGAAGGGAACAGGAGTATAGAAATATAAAATTGTAAGCCCAAACACATTTTGGAAAAAAAAAAAATAAAGCTGGCAGCCACTGTTAACCTTTAACAACCTCTTTCTGCCTTAACAGACTTCCTGGCAGCCACTGTGTACAGAGTTAAACTTAACCATTGTCTCCCCTTCCCAGCTTCTCAACTAGGCAGGTACAGCAGACAAAGGTTGGCTTCTAACTCTTGCCTCTGTGGGACTCTCTGTGTTGTATTCCCTTAATTTTTAACTGTCCTCCTATGTGACTCTACTCCCTGCCTTGTATTCTTTCAAGGGCATTGTTGCCCTTGTGTCAGCCACAGGCTTTTGCAAACATCCTAAGTTAACATCCTATAACCAAAAGTTGTAAAACTTAAAATGTAATGTGAGTTCAAGCCTGACCTCAAGGTTGTAAAAGCTCTTTGACCCCCACCTGGTGCTTGATTTTATATAAGAGGCCTGAAACCACTCCCCGTCGACAGTTTCTAGAAGCCGATCTCTGGCTGTGGTCCTGATTAATGGGTAAGCTTTTTGTGCCCCATGTGATTTTTTTTTCTTTTTTAATAAAGTTTGTTTCTGCTTCAGACTCTGGTATGGTCTGTCTCCCCACCCCCATCCGCCCCCATTGTGCTGGACCCAGCAGCAAGGCCACCTGGTCTATGCAGTTTACTTCTCTCTGAGGGTTCTCTTAGTGCTTAGATTCAGGAAATACTGAAGCAAGACAACTTGAGGCACTGGATCCTTCAACTAGTTTTCTAGTTGCTTTTTTTTTTCTTCAACATGCCAAATAAAATAGACTCAAGTTATTTCATGGTTTAGTCATTGTTAAAGGATGTCACACAGAAACTGTTATTAAAGGGGGGCAATAATTGTATTACAGGGACACTGGAAAAAAAATAGTTCACAAGCCAGCTGTTCTCTCTTCTTGGCTTCCGCTCTTCTTGGCTTGTTCTAACATCCAGCCCTTGGGGTGTATGGATGTTTGCAAGCCCTTAAATGCTTTGGGTGTTTTCCCTTGGGGCTTTTCATAAAGTTTTGTCCTCCTACCAGATTAATCATGGAAGTTAGCATGGCTCAGAGCTTCTCTTAAATGGATTTCACTAGGTAGTGCTGGCTCCCCATGCATAGGGTCCTGGCTGTTGATTCCTAGTACAAAAAAAAAAAAAAAAAAAAAAAAAAAAAAAAAAGAAAAAACAAACAAACAAAAAAAAAAACAAACATAAAGTTAAACTTTTTGCATCCTTTCTCATGCCTGCCTAGACAGACACCACAGTACTGATGGATAACTAAAAACCCCTCCCCTACCCCCTCAACCCTGCTTATGCTTCTACAACAGCTATGTGCAGAGCTACTGGAGCTTAGGACTATGAAAGGATTTTGCAGTTATGGTGGAATGAAGACTCCGAGCAGTTTCTTTACTGAAATGGAAAATAAAAGCACATGGTCTGACTCCAGGCTGAACTCCACAGTTTCCCTCCCAGAGGGCTAGTTATCAGGATGCAAGGAGATGCTTTTGTTTACACAGCAGCATCTGCCAGCTTTCTAAAGACAACCCTTGAATGCTGGGAAGTCTTGAGTGATTCCCACCTTAGTGAGCTTGAAATGAGTTATTTTATGTTCTCAGCTCCATTCTGCTTCTAGAGTATGAACTGGGGGCCTGGGGCTTTTTAAATCAGTGGCAGAGTGTTAAAATAGCATGTGTGAATTCTTACATTTGCGTCCTATAATTTGGTACATGCTTACAAACCCAGCACTTGTGAGGCAGGAGAATCAAATGTTCAAGGTCATCCTTCCTATGCCCCAGATTCCTCATGTGCAAAAATAAAGGCTAACAAGGGCACCTATTTCCTATAGTTAAATCTACAAGGCTACTACTCTCCCTGAAGGTAAATGTTTGCTTCTATTAAAAGGGTCAGCAATAACATTAAGGAGAACTATGTTTAATCTCAGATCCTTTAGTTTCACACCCTCTCCTTGTGCATTTGGTGCGTAGGCATTTCCTTTAGGAGCAATTGCGATTGCCCTTAGCCCATCTTCCCTTCACTGGCATATTCCCAGCAATAGCCAGAAGAGGCAAACCAAAAAATACTACTGAAAACTGAAGGCACGCACTACTGACATGTTCTTAACTCCCAAAGGAATTTGCAAAAAAGAGCTTTGTAATTTTTGACAATCGTTCAGGAATTTTAGAGAATGCTGTTGTTAGTTCACACTTCAGGTCCACTAAGGCATGGTATTCTGATTTAGTCTGGAACTTACCCTAACCTGATGGGTTCACAGCCCTCAGCATCATGTTTCATGGTGTTTAGTTGAATTATTCCAGCTTTAATACAAATAAATGCACTCCTCCCATCACTGCTCCTGGGTTAAGGTATTTAATATACTGCATTTGAAAGGATGTGCTCTTCTAACTCAAAGTCTATTCAACAGTTACTGTGAACGGTAATAAAGGCGGTCAGTCACTCCTACCCACCTTTCAAAGCAAACTGTCTCTGGAATGTTCTGATTGGAAAACAAATACAAATCTGCCATCTGTACATTCTGAAGCATAGAAGCATCTGAAGGCAAAGGCAGCTGAGATTTTTATGACAGTGCAGAGAACATCTGCCCACAATTGTTCAAAGAAGTCTCCTATCTTGAGCATCGACTTCAACCTGAGCACAAATTCCACTGTAATTTGAGGAATCTGACATTACAGGGAAGGTCCCCAAACTGATGCTCAAAAGACTCAGCAGTTTTCATCTCTGATTGAGATGTCCCATCCCAGTAAAAATAACATACTGTAAACATCAATGAACGCCACAATTTTTTTTTTTTTTAAAAAAGGAAGTTTATTGGTCTTTAAATGGCTCAAATTGCAAATAAATGAACCGGGTAGTGGCATCAGCCTAAGACATGTGATGCATCTCTGTCAGCTGGCTTCATAGCACCTGGTACCCAGGAGAGGGAAAGGTCTCAAAGCAAATTGCAATGTTAGTGGTTAGGACCCTGGTTCAACAGACTGCAATGAATGAACGCAGCCATGCTGGGCCTGCTGGCTGGGGTTACACAGGGAACTCTAATTTTGCACATGGCCTAGTCTGTGAAAATATTAAATCAAACCCTTTAAGGACAAATATTTATGATATGCTGAATGTAGCATCTAGACAGCAGTTCCTGAATGCCTGTCTCTGGTAACTTCATATACACACTTGTTTCCTGGAATGCCTGAGCATCGCTTTGACCTGATGAAATTTGGACTGTGCATCGAGAAAAAACAGTTTAATCAAGTGTCTTAGCCCCACAGAGGAAAAGAAAAATCTAATAGTGGTTTACTTCCCATTGAAATTATGCTCCTAACAACATGCTTGAATTCTTGCAGCAGAAACATCAGTCTGACATTTAGTCACTGTGTGCCAAACATGTTCAACTGCTTCATGTTAACCTTAGGAAATACAGGTACAGTATTCATTATGAACAAAAAGAGACTACAAAGTCTCCTCCTAATGCCCACACTGTACCCTCATGAGTACACATTTAGAACTGACAGGTGGCAAGCATGCTTCCTCAAGTGTCCTAGTGCAAACCACATTAGCTCTCCTGATGGACTTCCCTATGCCCTGCTCCCAGGATATTAAACACTTAAAAGCTCATCACTTGCAGAAAGTGATTACTGGGGACCAGCATCCTACATAAAAGGAGCATTCACTCAAATTTAAGTGGTACTCACATCCATAATCTAAAATCATCATATAAATATATGCTGGCCATTCATCTTTAACTACCTTATAGTTCATTAAAACCAATGAAGGAGCTCTGGAACTCTAAGAACCAGAGTATGGCACACATCTTTAATTTGGTCAGACCCCTAGTAGACACATATTTCTCAGGAATCTTCTTACACTGCCTGGCAAGATAGACCTTGTTACCAGTCATGTAGGCAGTGAGTGGCCCCAAGTGCTAGTGAGAACACACCCAGAGTGATGTAACTGGATTATTTTCTGTTTCTAAATTAAGGCATATTCAAAAATGTCCATGTATAAGTTCACACCATTTTTCTAAGTTAATTATCAGGTAATTAATATGCAGATTCACAGATGAATTACTCTCAGTTTTACTCTATGCAACAACCATGCCAGTAACTTCTTCTTCTAGATTTGCATAACAACAGTTTTAAAAAGTGGTACAGTTAACATGTTCACAATTGTCATTTTTCAAGGCAGTAGAAGACCAAGACATTTTAAAACAATATAAAATTTAAGCTTTATAATAAACACCAGAGGAAGTGGCCGTTCCTCCCACCCCCACCCCATCTCACCTCGATTAACAGTTCAAGAAAGACCCCCCACCCCACCCCCCAAAAAAACAAGCTTACACGCTACATTCAGGACTGTGATAAATGTAGGCAATTATGAAATAAATTGAGCTCTGCTTCTTGTGAAGCCACACAATTTCTTTTTAAAGTGAATTTGACTTCCAGTGCAGTTCCAATTCATGCTTTTAGTGATACATAACAATTTCCAAATGTTAGAGTAATTTCAGTCAATTGAGCCTTCAATGGCAATGCTTATAAATTACATTTATTAGTGTGGTCGGGATAAGAAAGGAGTTTGGGCTTTGATTATAAAATGCAGCATCTTTCTCTGATTCTCTTGGCTAAACTTTTCCTCTTCTTTTTTCCATTCTTTTCTTTGCTGTCTTCCATCTTTCTGGCTCGAATTTCCCTCATTAAATCAAAAAATACCTAGAAATAAGAAAGCAGAGTAAATAAAACAAGCAGTAGCATGAAGTTAGTGCTTCTGGATCATAGCAGTAAACCTTGGGGATGAAAGCATCACATCTAAGAGTTCCTTCTGGAGATGGGTCCAGGGCCACTCACAGGCTGGCAGGTGCTGCCCTGCCCTGCCCCTGAAAGGGCTTGTTGGTGAGGGCAGGCAGAGGAAAGCACATAAGCAAGCTGGAGTCTCCAAGGAGCTTGAGGGAAAAAAAAAAAAAAAACAAAAAACAAAAAACAAAAACAAAAAAACCCCAGCAACTTTTGTGAATGACATATCCCTCTTGATAAAATGTTACTTACTAAATTCTCAGGATTCCAGTGAAAACTGCTATATAGGAGTGATATGGCTCAAGATAAAACTCAGATGATTACATGAGGTACTTTTGAAAGGCTATTTATATTTTATGTATATGAGTGTTTTGCCTAAATACACGTATGTGCACCAATGGCCGGAAGGGAATGGATCCCCTGGAACTGGCGTTCCAGGTTCTTGTGAGCTGTCATATGTGTGCTGGGCACTGAACCTGGATCCTCTGTGAGAGCAGCCAGTGCTTTTAACAGCTCTCCAGATCACATAAATATGTATTTTGAGCACTTTGTGATAAAAAAATGTACTTTGCTAATTAACAGTAATTATGTTTATAATGAAAAAATTAGCATAGTAACTAAAAATTGCTAGTGAAATAATTGAAGCATTAAATTTCAACTACAAATCTTCTGCTCTCTAACAAAGAAAGGCCTAGAAAAACATAGTAAGCTAAGTGTGAGAGGGGAGGCTAAGTCGCACAGTCCATATTCTAATATTCTGTTGGTTTTTAAGAATCTTGCTGTCCGAATTCATCAACTTCCTGCCCTAGCTTCACAAATGCTTGAATTTTCTTCAGAAATTCAGTTACTGAATTGTAGAATTAAACAGAAAACACATAAAACAAAACAAAACAAAAAAAAAACAAAAAAGCAAAAAACAAAACAAAACTCAATAAGACTAAAAACAAGGACTATAAAAGATAACAGGTCACATATACTTCAAATTACAATAACTACAGTGTCTGATATACTTTTCCTAACATGCCTTTCTCTCTCAAGGGAAACCAAGTGTAAACTGCATGGTAGAGATGGATGGCGAAAGGCACCTGTGTGGGAGGAACAGGGCACACACATCTGCTTGCAGCTGCAAAGGCAAAACAATCAAACAATGAACCAAATACCCACTGGCTATTTAGGAACACTATTTTCAAGAGCAATGGAAGACATTAGAACCATCCGGCATTTCTGAATATACTTTGTTAAGTAATTTTTACTGGGAAAATTATAATTTTGTATATTAAAACCAGAAATAAAAGGTAAAAATCATTAAAAATTGAAAACTGGAAACAAGCATGACTACATTCCAAGCACACCATGTAGAGGAAAGCATTGCTTCAAGAGTCTTTGGAACACAGTATATGGCAAATTCACCTTAGGTGTTAAAAATAAAAACAAGAGTCCATCAACAAGGATCACAACAATGCTTAGCATGCATGAGGCTCTAAGTGTGACCCTGAATAACACATATATACACACAGACACAGACACACAAACTCATACCCACACACATGTGTGCGTGCATACAGGTACACACATACACACACACACACACACACACACACACACACACACACACAACCCAAATCCCAGCAACAACAAAAACAAAGCCACCAAGTCTTAGGAGTGACTCTGTAGCTTGCTGTGAAAGTAACTCACACACACTGCAGGACAACACATTGAGCCATTCTATTGCTATGGAGCCAGGATTTTCAGGGTCAATGTTACCTCAGAGAGGTAAGAATCTACGACAGTAAATCTGAACTGGTAACAGGAATCCATGTACTTTTCTTCCATTTAAAAAAAAGTATTCCTTGTCACTGTTCAGTGACAATCCAGAAAGCGATAATAACTGAAAAATAATAAGCGATGAGGTTGAGGCTGTGAACATCAATCCATGGAACTAAAAATTCTTAGGTGAATAGTTGATTTTTGGGCTGGAGCAAGAAATGTAAAGTTTAGAGAAGGAAGTGAGGATGCTATAAAATACTAATGGCTCAATAGATAGGGAAATGAATGATTGATTAAAGGGTAAATCCCAGACAGGGGAATGTACAATGCTGAAATACCACAATGGCATAGATCCCACTGCTGGGTTTCAACTTCTCCCAGAGATTTCGGAAGCCTCTGCTTCCAGTCCAGATGGGACTAGCTCCAGCAGGAAGCCTCCTTTCTGACCAGAAGTCTTCCTTAGAGTCCGCCAGTACTGACCTCTACTGCCGACAGATCCAGTGCACTATGAAAAGGATGTATAAGCGAATGGACTTTGGGAGCCCATTCCACATAGAGGGATACTCCCTCAGCCTAGACACATGGGGGAGGGCCTAGGTCCTGCTCCACATGATGACAGACTTTGAAGACTTCCCATGGAAGGCCTCACCCTCTCTGGGGAGCAGAAAGGGGATGGAATGGGGGTGGGGGGGGGAACAGGGGAGGACAGAGGGTGCCGGAACTGGGATTCACATGTAAAACAAGCTTGTTTCAAATTTAAATAATAATAATAATAATACTAAAAACATCTGGGCAGAGAAAAAAAAAGGATGTATAAGGCTTAAATTTCTAACAAGCAAATCCCTTTTCAAAACCACGAAAACATGGTAGCAAAGATTTAAAGTTGGCATCAGCTAATTTGAGGAATTAAAGAAAGTCCTGTTTCAAGTGCCAACTAAAGGACACAGCAACTAGGAAAGAGGAACAAGGAACAAAACAACCAACACCCCCAAATCACAGGACCATCAACTTCTTTCCCAGTCTCCCATCTTGCTCTCTTGGCTCCATCCTCTTTTCTCATTTTAGAGTAACTTAGTATGTATGAAACTTGACTTTCTAATTCTACACTATAACCAGAGGAAATCCCTCTTCACATAAATGAAAATAAAGCCAGACAAAACAAATCCAAAGGCTTATGCTGCAGACTAGGAGACAATAACAACAACAAATAACAGTAGACAAAGGATTAATGTTATTACTATAAAGCAGATATACAAATCAAAAGGTCTGAAATCTGTTAGGTAGAAAAAAGGGACTTCAGACTTGGCAGAAGATTGACAGTAGGCCAATGAATCAATCAAGGCATGAGGAGTCTCATAGCTAATCAGGGTTCACCACTTTTTTGCAATTTGTAAAGGCTGTTTGAATTGGGCTGGCAAGGCCATATGAAAATGGTTTCTTTTTTCTTTTTGTGAGACAGGGTGAAAATGGTTTCTTATAAGGAGGATGGGGTATAAGGACACTGTTATGGCAGGCACTTTAGCATCACTGTTTAAAAAGAACCCCTGCTTTTTTTTTTTTTTTTTTTTTTGAGTACCCACAGGAAGTTCAGTGCAGCACTGTTTGCAGTAGAAAAACTTGTGGGTGCTGGGGAGATGGCTCAGTGGTTAAAAGCACTTTCTCCTTAATGGTTGGGTTCACTATAAAGATTCATCATGACTTACCTCCCTACCCATTCAACTTTATTTTTTCTCTCTCAATAAACAAAAACAAATCAAAACAAATACACACCCCCCAAAATACCAAACAAAAGAAAATAAAACAAACAAACAAACAAAAAATCATGCAAAAAACATGGAGTCCCCTTTGTGTCGGCCAAGTACACCTTAGGTATGGGATCTGCCCTGCAGAGTAGGTTGATATACCCAGTCCATTGGAGAAAACTGATTTTTTTCTCTTACTCATCATGAATTACAAATAGCTTCTTGGTTTAGGAGTGGGACTTTGTGCCACTTTTCCTTGTCCTTGCTAGGATAAATACACTTTTAGAATTTGAAGTGGTGGGTCATAATTTTAATAGGTAATTACCACACTGGCTCTTCCATAAACATGAGGCTTTTTCTACATTCTTGCTAAGAATATATTTTCATTTTTTCCCAATGAGATGGACTAAAAAAAAAATCATATTATGTACTTCTGCTTTTACAGATAAGACTAAGCTCCTTTTCAAGTTGAAAGCTATCTACATTTGTTTCTTGTAATGCACTTGGACTGTGGTCTCGCTAGATTACTGGCTGTCTTCTCACTATCCCATGAGAGCTCTGATTCTGCCTCCATGTCCTCTGAGGTCAGCAGATGACTACCACATGGCTGTGACAGCACAGCTCATCTCTAGTTGCCTCTCTTTCCCTTTCCCCTTAATCCCAGTCATTTTCACAAGCTGCTTAAGACAATTAGGAAGAAAGATATGTATATGTTATAACTGTTCAATTTTTCCTTTCACTGTCTCATACTAAATTTTAAAATATACTTTATAAGTACTTTAAAAATACTTAACGTAATCTTACAGAAAAATAGTACAGAATATGCAACAGAAATATTGTAGGATTCACTGTGTACAAGTACTAAAAATCTGACACATTTCTAAAAACAATTAATCATAATGACACCATCATATCTATTACAGATTGAGGTAGTTATACGTAATTGGCCTCCATAAGCTCATAGGGAGTAGAACTATTAGAAGGTGTGGCTTTGTTGAAGTAGGTGTGGCCTTGTTGGAACAAGTATGTCACTGTAGGGGTTGGCTTTGAGGTCTCCTATGCTCAAGCTGCACTCAGTGAGGAAATTCACTTCCTGTTACCTGGAAGTGACATGGAACTCTCAGCTCCTTCTCCAGCATGCTGCTATGTCCCCTCATGATAAGAGACTAAACCCCTGAAACTGTAAGCCACCCAAATAAATAGTTTCCTTTATAAGAGTTGCTGTGGTCATGGTATCTCCTCATAGCAATAGAAATCCTAACTCAGACACAGATGAACAAAAAGACCTTATGATTTTTTAACCCTATGCTTTCTGCCTCACTTTTCTTTTTCTTTCTTTCTTTCTTTTTTTTTTTTTTGTGTATGTGTGTTTCTTCTTGAAACATGTTTTCATTGTGACTATGGAGACTATGCTGGCCTTGATTTCACAGAGATCTGCCTGCCTCTGCTTCCCAGAGTTGAGATTAAAGGTCATGCTACCACATATGGCCAACCTTATGCTTTATGAATCAGGATTATGGACTTCTAAGTATAAATAGACCAATCCACAAAAACTTGAGGTCATCTGTAGCAATGTAACTCAAGTGTGGCCCATATGGGAGCTTTCTAGAAATCCAAATGATCTGGCCCTGTTCCAGAGCAAATGTTCCAGAAAAATCTCTGGTGATGAGCCTTAAGGATGTGTGCTTGTTAGGACTAACTAACAGCCTGCATAGTGGGTTTAGGAGGCTCCTCTGAATAGTCACAGTACACAGAGACTGGAGAGGATCCTACTGGGAGTTTCCAAGAGCCAAAGCCATCTCAGTCTTGAAGACAGTCTCCTCCAATCCCGGAAAGGATTCTCAAGAAGTGTCACTATACATGGTATGGGAAAATGAGGGGGATGTAGAGGATCTCCCTTTGCACTCAGGGAAACAAAGGCTGAGGGTAAACAATCATGGTAGTAATGAAGACTTCAGAACAATCTTAATTAGGAGTTCCTCCATCCAGAAGGTACCTCCCCTTTAGAGACATAGCACCAGAAAGGCATTAGTCAGGGCAAACACATACAGTGTTAGCATGTTAGGGTCCTGAGAATTTCTTTTACAATACGCAATCCCATTAAAAATAAGGCAGTAAGTAGGATGGGGATGCTGATGAAGACTTTAAAAAAAGCACATTTAGCTGTAGTGTCTTGCATCTGAGAAATTCAAAGATAAGTTGAAATATAATATTTCTAACATATCTTATTTCAGCATTTAGGGATGGTAAAAATCAGTCTCTGTCAGTGCTGGTGAAATGGCTTAGTAGATAAAGGTACTTGCCACTAAGCCTAAGTACCTGAGTTCAATTCCTAGTGGAAGGAGAGAACAGACTTCTGTGAACTACCCTCTGATGCTATGTCACCCTCCCTCCAATAAATAAAAGCAAACTCAAACAAACAAACAACAACAACAATAAAAATACTCAACACTCTATTAAATCTTAGTTTGGATCTCTGAGTCTAGAAAAAGTAGGATAACAGGGCCAATCAACAACTTACACATGATGCACTAACATTTTACCTTGTCAACGTTGGCTCTCGTTTTAGCAGATGTCTCCACGTAGTTAACATTCCACTGGTCAGCTCTGTTTTTTGCCTCTTCAACAGAAACCTGCCTTTTATCTTCCAAATCTGATTTGTTACCAACCAGGAGAAATGGAACATTCTCATCTTCTTTTACTCTTAAGATCTGCTCCCTAAGTAAGTAAAAGAAAGAAAGAAATAATAACACAATGCACATATATTAAAAAAAAAAATCACAGAACTGGGGCTGGAGCAATGGCTCAGCAATCAAGAGCATGTGTTGCTTTTGCAGAGGGCCCAGGTTCAGTTTTCAGCACCCACACGGTGCCACTTAGCTAGGTGCTGCAGGAAGATCCAGTATGAAACTACAGTGACCAAATTTATCAGAAACAGAGAAGACTGGACCCACTGGGCCAGAGGCAAGATAATAATTTTTCTTTTTCTAATTTCATTTTAGTTTTATTTATTTTATGTATGGATGTTTAGTCTGCATGCATGTCTGTATACTATATGCATGCTTGGTATCTGTGGATGTCAGAAGAAGGTATTAGATTCCTTAGAACTGGTGTTAGGAATGGTTGTAAGCCATCAGGTGGGTTCTGGGAACTAAACCTGGGTACTCTACAAGAGCAACAAGTGCTCTTAACCACACATGCCCAAGAAGATGATTTTTCTTAAGCATTTTATTTTTATTAACTACTTTCCTGTCACATAGAAAGGTTGTTAGGTCTATAACCTTCACATACATTTTACTTAAGGCTATAGTTATTTTCATACAGATACTGCTATAGTATTTTTAAAGTATGAAAGTCCCTTTAAAATCTGGCCCAATTTCATTTCTAACACAAGGAAAGGGAGCTCCAAGCAGTTCAGAGGTCACAGTTCTCAAGTCTAGTATATATAACTATGTGTCACAGAGTCATGATTGTAACTGCTATAGGTGGGAAAGAAATGGGTTCTGCTCTTAAGACTTTTTACCTGGTAAGGAAAAATATCTAAGTCAAGTTCAGTACAAGAGTGTATTAAGTATGAAGCTGGAGACAGGGCTCGGATGGTCAGAGCACTCACTCTTCTTCCAGAGGACCAGGGTTCTATTCCCACCCACCTGGCAGCTAACAACAGTAACTTCAGATCTAGAGGAGCCAACACGCTCTCCTGGCCTCCATGATGCATAGACACTCATGCAGGCAAACTACCCACACATATTAAAAAGTGTGACGGTGTCACACTGGTACCGTACAAGCACATTGTTTAAGGAGAAAGGAAGTAATGGCCTGCCTTGGTGAGAGATGAGCAGGAAGGGTTGAGGCTGAAGGTAATTAGGAAGTAGCACCTGGGCTACACTTGCTGGTTAGATGATGTGGAGACCCTTCTGTGACCAGTCAGACTGTCTACATGAATTTTCCCGCTGTTGCTGAGTCACTAGATCCACTTTTCCTTATGGGAAGGGCAACACATTGGAGGTACACAGAAGAACAATGAATCATTCTAATTTCCTATGGTGAAAAATAAATTATTCCATTACCTACCACAGGGCCTGCTACATAATAAACCCTTTTGTGTTTTCTGGAGGAATGGATGGGCATACATCAACACTTAATATAACTTTCCATGTCTCTTACTTTATAAGTTTCCAGGATCTGTAATCTACGCAATAGCACGTATGAAATTCCTTTACAGAAACCAACAAATTTAATCTTTTTAATCAGTTCATCTTGTGCATTTTCTCAATTATATGCCCTTTTAGGGGGAAGACTGCTCTCTTAGATTTCTTTAAGGCTCATCATTTTTCACAGGCTCATCTTTTTTTTTGTGAAGTATTCCCAATCCTTCTCCTTTATAATGATTACTGCCTATGTTTCCTACTTTACACTCCACCAGGTTTTGCTTCATGCCTTATATATACAACTAGGGTGTGCAAATCTTGATTAGAGGACATATTACATGCTTTTTTGTGTCTTGCACAATGAAATTCCTATCACAGACATAAAAATATAGACAGACAGAACATCATTGATGATGCACACAGTACTTTCAAGATTACTCCAGAGACTATTCATGACAATGTCTCTCAGACAGAGTGAAGTCATTTCCTCTAAGCAATGTATGTCATACTCTGATTAGGTGCAAAGTAAAGAAAATATACTGTAGAACACAATCAAGTAATTATACTCACTACAGTGAGTATTATCCTCATTTTATAAAATATTTAAGTTTAAAAGATTATTTGTATTTTAAACATTTTAGATAACCATATTATAAGGAGAATGGCAATGTGTCTTTAACTATAACACAGGTGCTGAGAAATTAGTAACTACTACAAAAAATATGGGAAGTGTTGCTGTACTATCACAGCAACAGTAATGCTGTACTCGTAAAGAAAAATGATTTAGTAAAGCATAAGGGATCTCTGGGTACTTGAAACTACAATGTGTTCAGCACTAGGGCAGCTGTAAGAACTGAATATGTTACATGTATCCATAGTGGCCAGAGTCACACACTAATATCAAAGTGCAAAGACACACTATTCGAGGCACTAAAAGATTAATAAGCAAAAAGCTCTACTTATCCACGTGTTTCTGGAAAGGACAGTTGTGTGTACAACATGAGATTAGGCTCCATCATACCTGAAGTCAGCTGTGGCTGCAAAGGATTCCATCTCTGTGATAGAGAAGACGCAGAGGAACCCCTCCCCACTTCGAAAGTAGTTGTCTCTAATTGCAGCGTAGTCCTCCTGCCCAGCTGTATCTAAAATGTCGATCTGCACCTCCTCCCCATCCAGCACTACCTTTTTCCTGTAGCTGTCTGCTTTGGTAGGTTCATAGTCCTCTACAAACTAGAAAACATGAAAAACACATCCTTTTTTAAATTTTTATTTTTACTTAAAAAAAAAAATCTTATTTAGAAATCACTACTCTGTACCTGTTTTCACAAATGGTGAAAACCATTGATTTTCATTTTCAATAACTCACCAACTAATTTATTTGCAAAAAGACTGGGTTCAAGTCTTACTTCTAGGCTATTTACAGCTTGAAATTAGTCCATTTTCTTTCTAAAAGTACTATACATACAAAAAATAACACATATATACTTTTTATCAGATTTAGAATCCCACTTCAGATGACCCCAAATAACAAGATTTTGGTGCGAGAATTGTGGGGATAATTAACAAGCCAACACTGAGATAAGCACCACTATCTCCTTTTCTAAAATGAGACAAGTCAATACAGTGTGGATACCACTCTCTAGAAAATCTTAACCTTTTGAGATCCCAAACTAACTGACCTTTAAACAGTGTCATCCTTACTACCATAATTATGTCCATAGATCTGTTTGCTATCAGTGCACACACACACACACACTGTACACATTGTGAGGAGTTTTAAAATGTTTTTATAAATATTTTCATAATGTTGATATCAGTTTCTAGAATTTACCTTTGACTGCAGGAGCCCTGAACTACTACTTACTCAGTTCTATATATCCTAAGTCTAGAACAGTAGACATTACATGGTAGACTAGTCATTCTCATGTTGTGATGACCCTAACCATAAAATTATTTTCATTGTTACTTCCTAAGTGTAATTTTGCTACTGTTATAAACTGTAATGTAAATATCTGTGTTTTGTGATAGTTTTAGGTGACCCCTGTGAAAGTCATTTGACACACAATGGGGTTGTGACCCACAGGTTGAGAACCACTGTGGTAGATGATCACAATAATTATTTAAAACAATATTTTAAAAAAATTTTTAAATTTTTTGCCTCTTGACTGTATCCTCTCCCTCCTTTCTTCCCAGGTACCACCCCCACCTTCTTTCCACCCCTCCCATCCTTTTCTCCTTCATTTCTATTCAGAAAAGGGGCAGGCCTCCCATGGATATCAACAGAACATGGCATATCAAGTTGCAGTAAGACTAAGTATCTTCCCATGTATTAAGGCTGGGCAAGGAAACCCAATATAACGAACAGGGTCCCAAAAGCCCCAAAAGAGTCAAAGACAGTCCCTGTTCCCACTGGGCATGGGAGATCTTTCCATCTTCTGATAGCTTTTCCAATTTCTTCAAAGACTTGAAGTTCTTATCATACAGGTCTTTCTTTCCTTTGCTTAGTTAGAGTTACACCAAGATATTTTATATTATCTGTGGCTATTGTGAAGGTTGTTGTTTCTTTGATTTCTTCCTTAGCCCATTTATCATTTGTCTATAGAAGGGCTACTGATTTTTTTTTCTTAATCTTATATCCAGCCACTTCATTAAAGGTGTTTATCAGCTGTAGAAATTCCCTGGTAGAATTTTTGGGGTTGCTTATAAAACATGTTTTAGTAACCCCCCCCCCCAACACTGCTTAACCATTTACTACAAGTTAAAACATAGAGAACCTCACCATCTTGTGGGAGTAAATCCAATGACTGGTTCTGAGCAGCCTTTGCTAAGGTCTCTTTCTGTATACTAGCATGGTAAATATCATTGCAAACCTCTTCAAGGGACTTTTGGGGGGGGGGTGTGGGGAGGAGAATAAAGAAAAGCAACACACATTCTTACATGGGCCTGGATGGTAAGACAAGAATTCTACACAACTGAAGCTCGGTGCAACAATCACCATTTCCACCACTGGTTTCAGTATGGTGACTGTTGAGTGCAAAGACTTTAACTTCACCATGTGGGGTGTGGGTAGCCAGAACAAGATTGGCCACCACGGTGGTACTACTTGCAAAACACCCATAGCTTGATCTATATAATGGATAATGTATGAACAAGGCTCCTGAGGAGTTATCAGGATGCAAGCTGAGGCTGAGCTATGCCATGCTACTGTGTTGTTTGCCAACAAGCAGACACTAGCTGGATCTGCCCGGGGCCATGAGCGCAGCTGAAATCACACACAAGCTGGGGCTACACTCTCTATGCTACAGAACTGGTACATTCAAGTCACCTGTCTCACCAGTGGGGATGGGTCTATAGAGGATTAGACTGGCTGTCTACTCAGGACTGGAACCAGAAGTGAACCAGATCTTTCCCCCATCTTACTTCTCTGCATTCAGCTTTCTTCTCTTTTGGCAAGCATGACTCCATGGTGCTGTGTGCCAGAGCTGTCTTCATGGGTTGGTCACATGCATATACAGTCTACAGCCAGGTTTTATTTAATGTAAACAGTTTCTGTTTCTACTCAGACAGTTTCTGGTACTCCTATGCAATATTACTTAGCTTTTTGCTTCTGAAGAGAATCAATTATCTGTTAGTAGCGAGGATGGATTTGGGTGTCACGATTCATTTTGATGGTTGGTTTTCAACCCAAACTCGGTGCACTTAAAACAAATGTAAGACAAGAACACTTCAGCACACAGAAGTGTGAATAAGCCTGGGGTAAGGTTTGTAGTAACAGCCTGAATACTAACACACTAGATTGGCTGTTACTCTGTGCAAACATACCACCATCAGCTGCATGACCACAGTGGAGACCCTGAGACCTGACTGGCTTTGAGTCACCTGTACTCCACAGCTTGCTTGTACTTACCTTGGGGCAGGCTGGCAGCCATGGGGTTGCACAGCCTAGCCTCGTCCTTGGCAAGAGAGAGGCTGGGCTAGAAGGCAACCCACATTTTCACCTTGTTTTGGGGCCTACTTGAACATGTTGGCGGCAGGCAGATCAGAAACTGGTGTAAGCTGGCAGGGTAGGCTCACTCCAGCCCAACAAACTTGAGCATGCCCATTTCCACATGTGAAGCAGCTGCCTCCCTCAGCCAGCAAGGGTCTGACCTGTCATCCAAAGACAACCTCTATTTTTTTCTTTTGTGTTTTGATAAATACTAAAAAAGCTGGTGCTGTTCAATTTGCCCTGGGGAACCCTCAGAACTGGTTTGTTTGGTATTATGGGGCATTTTACTGCTTTTAGTACATAATTAGTAATCTACTGTTTTGTATACTTGCTTTCAGTTGTCATTTTGACAAGCACTGATTATAGCTATCAGGATGAAGTCTCTTAACTATTTAGAAAAGTTAAAAACATGAATGCTCTTATTTTTGGTTTCCTTACTGGCAGGAAAGGGACTAATGATGGGCATGGTGGTTCAGGCCTGTAATCTTTGCATGTGGGAAGCTAAGGCAGATAAACTGTCCTGAGTTTCAAGCCAGTACGGATTAGATATAGGACTCTGCCTCAAATCTCCACCCAAATAGGAGGAGGAAAGGACTAATATAAAGATTAGTTTAAGAGAAGATGAAAATTAACAGTATAGTAAATGCAAATGAACAAATAAACCAGTACTGCTTTAGCCCCCTCTCAATTTTTTAGACATAGATTTGAGGGTGGAGGGTGTAAGGGAAAGTGTGGATATGCTAGCACTTCAGGTGTTAAAAATTGCAGGTTTTAGCCAGGTGGTGGTGGCACATGCCTTTAATCCCAGCACTTGGGAGGCAGAGACAGGTGGATCTCTGTGAGTTCAAGGCCTGACTGCTCTAGTGAGTGACTTCCAGGATAGCCTTCAAAGCTACAAAGAAACAAACAAACAGCCCCCCAAACAAACAAACAAAGACTTTGCATGTTTTTTTATTTGATTGTTTGTTGTTATTGTTGTTAGAACACCAAGATTAACAATTGGTAATTCACCAGAGATGATTTTTCTTGGGCAAGGTGGGTTCTCTTTTTTTTCTTCTAAAATGGAGACACTACTATTTACCATCCAGGATTGTTACAAGGCTTAAGAAAGAAAGTATGTTGCAACTATAAACAGGGATTCTATTGAGAGAAAGAGTTGAGAATAAATGATCACATATGTTTATAATTTCTAACTTTGTTATCAATTATAATAATTACACTTGATAGTATTACACTGGGGAAAGAAAACAGTCTGGTACACATACTAAAAAATCTGTAACTTGACTACTAATTACAAGTGTTAGTGATGGGGCCTGGACCTGTAACTGTTTAATGGTGGGTGCAATCCCATGGTGAACAAGGGACTATGTTCTGAGGTTATTTAACAAACACTTCATATATTAATTTCAGGTCTCAATGATGTTCTATACCTACTAGAAATTCAAGGAGGAAATTGCCATTAAAATATTTTAAAAACACTAAAGTTAGATTACTCAAAAAAAAAAAAAAAAAAAAAAAAAGAGGCAGTTTTCAGTTTTATTTTGTTTTGAGAACTTGGGGTCTAGAGACTGGTCCTTGAATTTTAAATTGTAAAATTAAGTAAGTACAGATATTGGCCTTATATTTAAAAGTGGAAAAATATTAGGAGCTTTCAAGGGCTGAAAGAATCCAACCAAGTAATACTAAAACTAAGCTAGAGGACTATACTCTCCAAGCCCAACCTTGGTTATTCAAGTGAAGCAAGTGAAGGTGGCACTTACCTCATCATACATGAACTGCAGAGTCAGGGCAGACTTGCCCACACCACCACTGCCCACCATGATGACTTTGTGTAAGGCCAAAGAATTCTGACCCTTGGGTTTATTTGCAGCCATCCTGTTTCCCAGAGTCTTCAGAGGATTAAGAAGAATCTAAGACAAATGGGACAGGTAGGGCTCAGTATAGTCCTTAGAATTCAAGTGGAGGAAAGAAACACAATGCCCTTAGAGTTCAAGACACTAGCTCCCACTCTGCAGTAACTGTAAACAGACAGTAAGCAAAGTGCAGACTCTTAGAAGGGGACTCATCCATCAGAGATTGCAACAACGAGACATGACAATGATCCAAGGGCATTATCTAATAGATTCTGCAGAGCTGTGACCATAATGGTATTAGTTACACTGGAATATCTTCACACAGAGTATGAGAATAGGCTAAAGGATTACTTGTTTTTCTATGTTAATTTATATGGGCAACGCTTAAAGAAATGTTCCTCCTAACTTCAGTAAGAAACAGAGACTGCCATTTGCATTAAGGACCTCCTTGGAAAGGCGTGCTGTAAGTGAAGGGATCTTATCTAACAACTGTTAACAGACTTATAAATAGGATTCCAGCAGTGCATAATTCAACAACCATGCTATGGGGACATCTGTGGTTTTTTTTGAGTAATGTAACTTCACTGCTTTGAGGCAGCACGCCCTCACTTTCCTTAGAACATTCATTTGTTTTACTACATTAAGGCTCTCAAGGTGGAGGCCAGACTCTTACAGAAGTCTAAAAGAAATGGATCAATTTCTAGATGCATTAGACCATAAAAATTAAACCAAATGGGAATAAATAATTTAAAAAGATCTATAACCAACAACGAGATTGAAACAGTAATTAAAGGTCTTTCAACCAAAAAAATTCAAAGGACCAGATGAATGTATTGTAGTTTTGAGATGAGACAGTTCTAAAAAGAATATCAATACCACTCAACTTATTCAATAAAACAGAAAAGGAAGGAATGCTTCAAAATTATTTTTATGGACCCAGTATTACTGTGATATCAAACCCAGTAAAGACACACACACAAAAAAAATGAGATTAGAGACCAATCTCCCTTATGAACATAGATACAAAAAAATTCTCAAGAAAATACTGGCAAACAAAATTTAAGATCCTAACTGAAAGATAATTCATCATGATCAATATGCCTTCATTTAGCAGATGCACAGATGTTAAGTCCATGAATGTAACATATCATTTAAATGTACTAAAAAACGGAAATCACATGATTATCTCAATACATGCAGAAAAAGTCTTCAATAAGTTCCAACAATTCCTTCATGACCAAAGTCATGGACAGCCTAAGGATGGAGGGAGCACAATTTAACATAATAAAGCCATGGCAAACCTATAACCAACATCATACTAATTTGAGAAAAACTCAAAGCATTTCTGCTAAGATCACTAATTTAAAAATGTTTCTACTCTCTTCCCTCATATTTAGCAGTATCTGAAGTTTCAACTACAGCAGTAAATTAAAAGAAACAAAAAAAGAGATAAAAAAATTGAAAAAGATGAACTCAAAGTATCCCTAATTGTAGATGCTATGATTCTATACATAAAAGACCCTACAGACTTCACTGAACAACTCTTAAAAGCTGGTAAACACTTGCACCAAAGTAGTATACCTGTGGCTAGATAGCTTAGGCCCAAGAGAGAACCTATTACTATTATTTGGTTAAGTGGACATAGTACATTTACTTCTTATGACTTATTATTATACCCACAAATTAGTGCATATCTCTACCTCACCAGAGAGGCTTTTAACAGCAGACGTAAACACAAAGACCCACAACTGGTCAACATGGAGAGAAAAAGAGACTGTGGAGTGCTCAGATCAAGCCTGACAAAATCCTATCAGAGAGGGAGAGGTGATCATGAAGTCCCATCCTGCCCAATTGAGACGCTCTTGGCAAATGAAGAGTCATTTTTCTTCAGGCATGTGGTTCAATAAGAGGCTAACCATATTCTAGGAGGTAGCCAAACACCCATAAACATAATAGCAGAGCTCAGTGAGCTCAGGTTTAAAAGACAAAAAACAAACAAAACAAAACAAAAAACAACAAACAACCACAACACATGAAGTTGGGAGGGAACATATGGATTGAGAAGTGGGGGAAGAATTAGAACAGGGGACATGGGAGGTGGGCTTGATGAAAACATATTATAGGAGTGATAGCTTAGTCAAAAGCACTTGCTGCTCTTGCAGAGACCTGGGTAAACTACCAGAACCCACATGGGAGGTTCACAGATCATCTGATACTCCATTTCCCGAAGATCTGATGCCCTCTGTGGGCACCTGGCACACATGTGGTACACATGCTCACATGCAGACAAAATACTAATACACATAAAAATAAAATTCTCTTAAAATAATCTGAATTGGCTACATGTATACAATTCTCAAACAACAGACAATTGAATAAAATTAAAAAACATTTAAAATACAAATCAGTACACTTTTTATTATAACAATCACAAACACATTTTGGAAAAGAAATCAAGGAATAAATCCCACTCACAGAACCCATAAACACACACACACACACACACACACACACACACACACACACACACACACACACTTAGGAATAAAGTTAACCAGGAAACTGAAGATCCCTACAGATACAGAAGAAACTGAAGAAGACACTTGAAGATTGAAAACAATTTATGTTTTGTGTATGAGCAGTAAGTATGGTGTTACTTACTGGGTTAGTGTTAGTGTTTTTTTTCTGCTATACTAAAATCCACTACTTATTGCATGAGAAATTTGCTAATTAAAAACAGCTATCAGCCGGGCATTGGTGGTGCACACCTTTAGTCCCAGCACTCAAGAGGCAGAGGCAGGTGGATCTCTGTGAGTTCAAGGCCAGCCTGGTCTACATAGCTAGTCCCAGGAAAGGCTCCAAACTAATACAGAGAAACTCTGTCTCGAAAAACAAAAACAAAACAAAACAACCCCCCAAAACCAAAACCAAACAATCCCCAAGACAAAAAACTGCTATCAAAACAAAACTGATTTAACCATGTTTCAATGATCCAGCTTTAAAAATTAGTAGGATGCTTGAGGATCTGGGTTCATTACCCAATATAAAAATAGACAAACAGCCACCTAAAAACTCTAATAAACCCAAACCATATTACAAGAGTAAGGAATTGGTCAAATGAACAAGATTTAGATCAAGCACCAAATCATACATATATTTAAAAATTTGTGTGTATATGAACACATATGGCATATATGTACATTGTGTCATTTGTATGGAAGCCAGAAGATAATTTTGTAGATTCTATTTTCTCCTTCTACCTTTACAAGAATTCTGAATTACACTTGGGGAGCCAGATTTTCATGGCAAGTATCTTTACCATATGAAGTTATCACCCCTCAAATCAGGAAAATGTTGGTTAGGAAACAATGATTAGTATATGAAATGTTACTACTATTAAGAAAAGTTCTCTTAGAGCAAACAGCCCAAATGGGATGAATCCATAACCTCCCCACACCCCCATAGGGCTCAGGGAACCCCTCAAAAGAAAAGGTAGAAAGAATATAAGAGCCAGAGGGGATGGAGGACAAGAAAACAAGGCCCTCTAAATCAACATGAGCAAAGATTATATGAACTCACAGAGACTGAGGCAGCATGCACAGGGCCTGCACAGGTCTGCACCAGGTCCTCTGTGTATATTATTGCTTCCAGTTTAGTGTTTTAATCTGATTCCTGTGTATCAATGTGGGTTTCTAACTTTTGTGCCTTTTCTTGAGCTCTTTCCCTTAGTTTGATCCAAATCTGATGCGACAGTTTTTATCTTACTATATTTTGTTGTATTTTATCATTATCCCTTAGAAGCCTGCTTAGTTTCTAATGAGACAGAAAGGGAGTGGATCTGGATGGGAGGAACGGAGAGGAGTAGTGGGAGAGGAAACTGTATTTAGGAATATTATATGAGAAAAAAATGTATTTTCAATAAAAGGAGGAAAAAGTTCTCATCCCGAAGCTCCAACTGGCCAGGAACTTAAAATTCTCCTGCCTCAGCCTTCCAAGTACTGGAATTACAAGCATGCAAAGCCATGCTTGGCTACAAATAAAACATTTTAAAATAAGAATCCAAGTATAGCGGCTGGTTTACAGACATCTGAAAGTCTACTTTTTAAGGCAGTTAATGTTCTCTTTATATAGTGGCTTTTTTGATCTTTTAACTTAAGATTGATGGCCATACTTTTTCCCATAACCCAAACCCATACTAATTTGTATTTATTGTGAAAGTCAGGTACTGTCTTAAGGACATACTGATTAGCCAATGCTTTCAAAATACATCCCAAAATAATTTCTAGAAACCAGGAATTAATGATCGATTCTCAAACTACAAGGATTCTCTTTATGCCAATGAATCCTACCCTTTTACAGATCACTCTTTGAACTGCTAGTCTAAGGAACCGTGGTTAAATGATCAATTCTTTTTAAGGAACAATGGGGAGGAATGGGAGGACGAGGGCATAAAGCAGCAAACTTTAAATTCTGCTTGCTACACATAACATACACATACACACTCATCTAGTCAGGTAGCATCTTTGTAGTACTGTAAGATGCTTACTGTACATGGAAAGCATCACAAAGACTACTTCATTTTATATCTGCTTACCACAGGTTCATTCCCAATCCTAACACTGGTGTTAGTCATCTGAGACACACACAAGCACTCCTGGAACCTGTGCTCTTTACCCTCTCAACACATTATCATGATTAAACATAAGGGGTAGGAGCTGGAGAGATGGCTCAGAACTTGAGAGCAGTTGTTGCTCTTTCAGGGAACCCGGGTTTGATCTGTAGCACCCACATGAAGTTTACAACTATCCCTAACTCTAGTTCCAGGATATCCGATGCCCTCTTATGGCCTTTGAGGGCACCAGGCACATACACACACAATGCACTTACATGTAGGAAAAATATTCATATGTAGAAAAAATTTTTAAAAAAACTAAAATAATGCTATGAAAAATAATCATGAACAGATTCAATGAGAAAATTCATATAGTCAACACAAGACAAAAAGAAAAGGGATGAGATAAAATTCTTATCCTCAAATAAAAAAAGTCACCAACCAC